AACTGGATAGAAAAATCTGTTCATTAGACTTAAGTTCTTTATGACACTTTGAATGAGGCTTTTCCAAACCATTAAATAGACAGGAATGGGCCAATTTATGGTCTCCAATGTCACCAGATATAACTATAGTTTTCAACCATCAGCATTTGGCACTTTCTAGCAGCATTTTGTATGCTCCATCAGTGGACAGACTGCTTTTCCCTTTTGTCAGCATTTTGAAAGAATTTGATATTATTACATAAACATTTTATTTAACAAGTTTAACATCAATATATACATCAAAGACACTATGTATTTCATTACGAACAACTGAAGCAAACAAGAACAACGTTCTCAGATTCCTTCAATTGGGAAAGAACCGAAAGTGATATTTTTATATATGTATGTTGGTATATGTATGAAAATTTTAGCTCAAATATGATAATTTTAAATGGCAAATGAGATAAACTGAATCTTCAAGTCTGCCAACATTAGTATAATCATGTTGGCAGTTAACTCAATTATAGTTGACTCATCAGCAGAATGAAACAAGTTACTTTTACAATTATACCAAATTTTCGAGCAGCACTAGCTTCTCTGCCCAAAATGAAAAAACATCTAATTCATCACTTAAGAATATACAGGCCATACAGTATGAACTTTCTAAAGAAAAAAAACTAGATGGTTCTTTGAGATTTGAGAGATTTTACAAAGTTTCGTAATCTTTGTAAAATAGTAAGTTGATGACAGTTTTACCACAGAGCATTGCTGAATAGCAAAGGAAAAGATATTCAATATGGTAAGAAAAAGAAAATAAATAACCAGAAAAATTATCGTCCTTAATAATTGCATAAATAGATTTATGATATGTCTTATAAAGTATCTGCCCTTTCCTTAAACTGTGATGTTCAAGAGTATAAAGCTATTGCATAATCTTCACAATGTTTATGACAATAGCTTTATAAGATATCATCTGCATAGATAACATTAAATTTTGTTTATTAAAGGTATTTAATATCAGTAATGTGCAAATCAGTAATGTTAATAAGGATTTTTTTCACTTTTTATGCCAGCAGTGTTTTTATTCAAAAATCAGCATTTTTTTACCAATGTCCCAGCTATTCCCCATTCTAAAGGTTGGCAAGTATGCACAACCATACCGGATTTCTTTTTTTAGAGATACGTTAAAGATTTGGGGTAGACGACAGCCACTCCAGATATGAAGACATTACAAAAGCAGATTATAGAAGGAGTCAAATGTACCACACTGCAGATGTTAGAAAATATATGAAGAGAGAATGAATATTGTATTGATATTCATACAATAGTCGAATATCGATACAATATGGGTTCAAATAAAAAAATGTTTATAAAGTCTTTAACTTGTGTATACTGTAGATAAAAAACTTAATATTTGTATTCAATTTGATAATTTTGCATAGTAAGTATTGTAACCAACTAATCAGGATAACAGTTTATAGACACTGACTCTTCGATACATTATTTAGAACGTGAGATAGTATTTACTAGTATCGAAATGATCACATTCAACAATTGACATTTAAGAGATTTTATTATTATTATTTTTTAATATAAAAATGAATTCTATAATTTGCATCAAGCAATAAATTATTTGGCACAAAACATGTCAATAGCAGAAATTGCTTTACCTGGTTGATAATTGAAATTGTTATTAAGATTTTCTTAAATGAGTTTCGAAGCAGCCGCCATGAGGATATACAACGCCATCTGTAAAAATAACTGTTTTTAATGTATACAAGTAATAAATACAGTAAATGAATTGAAAAAATAAAGTGCATTATATTTCTTCCTATTATTTATAAATAGTGAAAAAGGAAACTATAAAATTTTTAATTTAAATTTTGCATATTTTATAATATACCGTAGGATTACATCAGAATAGGCAGTAAGGTTTTTCCAGGCCGATAGTGGATTCTTAAGAGTTTCGTTTCACTGCTCATTACTATACTAAAATTTTCGTTCTATGTCTGTATCCATATAATATCAATACTTATAACAAAATTGGACCGGGTGCCTCAAGTGCTTTTTTTTTAACTCTTTCCGCCCTGTAGGCACTAAGAGGGCCTCTGTTATCAGACCCATTATGGGTATGTATGCCCGACATATTTGAATGGTCCATCCAAAAAATTCCTGGGAATTTTTTCGATTCATCCGGATTTGATCACGGGCTTATCTAGAGCGGTAGGCTGTCATCGTGATCGCTCGGGCATCCGGCCGCTGATAATGTAGGGGTTTTTTTAAACTCTTTCCGTCCTATGGGCACTAAGAGGACCTCTTATAGCAGGCCCATTGTGGGTTCGGCAAGGCCCACAATGGGGAGGCCGGGCGGTGAGGGACGGGGCCCGACATATCCGAATCCCGAGAGGTTCCTGGTAATCCTTGACCCGTCCGGATTTGATCCCGGGTCCCCAGGGCGGTGGGCTGCCACCTTGACCGTTCGGCCATCCGGCCTGATAACGTAGAGATAGTGATGTAAACTTTCATGGCAGGTAGCCTTTATTTTGTGTTTTTGTTATTTTCGTGTTCGATTCTTTAAAGTTTAATTTAAATTATAGTACAGTAGTGAAAATTGAAAAAAAAATTTATACTGAGCAAGTGAGAAAAGCAAAGACAGTAACTTCATTTGAAGTTCCGATGAATATGCCAAAAAGTTGAGCGGTAGGCGTTGCAACACAAAGCGTCATTTATTCAAACAACACAAAGCGTTGTTTGAATAAATACGACTACATATTTCCTAGACTTTATTTATTTATCCTGTAGGCCTATGCCATCTTATTTATAAAGTAGAAAAATATAGTCCTGTACTAGAGTTTATGCCCTATTTAGGTTTGCGTCAGTGATTCTCAACCTTTTTTTCGTCACGGTACACTTTTAATAATTTAAAAATTTGGCGGAACACGCGATTATTTCGGTAAGTACCACAGGACAACTGGTGACATCATAACAGTGATTTTTAAACGCAGTTGGTTATTTACGTCACATTTTCTAAACGTCTTAGTAACTACCGGCAGTTACCGGTAACACCAGTTACAATTTCTAAACGCGCTCTAGGAAGGTAAAACCGATTAAACTACTTGTCTGACGTCGCTTATGTATGGATATTCGGCACATTTCAAAAGTCTCGCGCCACATTAAAATGCCGCGGCACAGTGGTTGAGAATCACTGGTTTACATTCATTCATTTTTTTAACGATAGGACGAAGGAAGTTTCCAAAAAAATAAATATGTAGTGTATGCTAAGTAAGCGTCCTTAAAGAATTCATTATGTTGAGTGGGGACTGTGACGCATCGCGAGCGGCGGAGGGGAAAGCGCCGCCATTTCGAGGTCGTTTCGCCGCGTCACATACTTTCCGTTTCGTATACATTTTGACTCTGAGAAGCTACGACGCTCGTTTCAGTTTCAATTTACAGCTCTCGTCAATATTTATTGATTGCGTACACAAAACATATGTGGAATAGTTATGGTGAATATATATGGTGTTAAAGTTAAAAATTAAGAAAACTTAATATAATGTCGGCCTATACTCGTTGAAAAGCCAAATCAAAATATTGAATTCGTATACGGTCAGAAAGGGCTTCTCAAGAGCAAACCAGTGATACCCTAAAACACCATATGATAGAGTGAAGCGGTGCCGGGAACGTAAAAAAACATGGAGATCCGAAGGACTTCTTACTGTTTTAAGGAATGATTATGACATACATATAATACGCTCAATGAAAATATTACCCTTTAATTCTGGGCTGTTTTTTAAACATTTCCGCCCTGGGTATCCCGAGGGCCACTTTTAGCAAACTTATTGCAGGGGCGGCCGGGTGGTGAGGGATGGGACCAACATATCCGGTCGAATCACCCCACGAAAATTTCCTGGAGTTTTTTCGACCCGTTTGGATTCGATCCCAGATCGGTAGGCTGCTACCTTGACCGCTCCGGCCATCCCGCCATCCTCTAAAATAGATTAAATCAATTCATACTTCTATATTTTATTTTGGACTAGCAATCTTTTCTATGAAACAGGAACGCGCCAGGATATGTTTTAGTATTCCGTAGGCTTTTAAAGCCTGCATTCCCATAAGAAAGAATATATGAGGCCTGCTGGAAGCCTACGAAGTTTTTTTGAGGCCCGCATTTAGAAAAGATTGCTGGTTACTCGCATAGGACCCCAAATTTTATCGCGTGTCGGTTTTTGGAGGGGAAGGGCCTGTTACGTTATAGCTTAAAGCCTTAATTAATAAGTACTGAACTGGTTTTATTTTAAAGCATTGTTGCCGATGTTTTCAAACCGGTAGATCGCGAGCCACTGAAGTAATATGATCGTACACGAAAAGCTTTCTATTTAAACATGTTAAGATACACTGTTCTAGTTATAAAAATTTAACTTTAACGATATTTTTTGAATTATGAACTTTCAATTAAAATTAAATCAAAGGTTACTAGAAAATATTTTATTTTGAAATTTATAAAAAGATTTTAATGTACTTTGTAAGCCAGGGCTGTGGAGTCTCGTAAAAATCTACCGACTCCACTTACCATCCGACTCCGACTCCGTTTCATATACATAACAAGTTGGTAAGTAAAAGGGAGTCGGAGTCCGACTCCACAGCCCTGTTGTAAACACTTAAAAGATAGTTGTATCCAGAACGGGCCCTCATTATGGGCCTGGCAAAACCAGCAATGGCTATGATTAAAAAGGGTGCTCACAAGTAGGAAAAAGTTAAAAATGAAAACTCTTGTTATAAATTAAATAAAAGAGATCTTTCAATTAATTTTCGAATAATTCGGATGACTTTAAATTAGACAATATTGGATCCCGAGTCTTACAGAATTAATTAAATGTCTTAATATTTCCTGTACTCTTAAGAATTTTGATTAAAATTTTTAAAAAATTAATTTATTTTTACGATTTTTAACAATTAATTTAGATAATTCGTAATAAATCCATTCAACAAAAGAATCGTAAGAATAATTAATAAAATTAAGAATGGACAAGTTTTCTGAAAATCTTAGAATTTTACGATTTCTCACAAGCAAAATTGTCAAGGGCGAAAGGGAAAATTCCCGAATTACATTTGAAGAAAAATGCTTGCGATTTTTCAGAAAATACGCCACTTCCGACGATCCTAGGATAATTGATACGCAAGGGATGAAAGATTTGATTGGAGATTTCAACGCGTTAGAGAAATCGAAATACATCAATCAATTAATGAACGCTTGGAAAGAAATAGTCAGAGAGAAAGGATTTTTAATCTTAGACGAAGATTGGATACAAGGATTGAGACAATTGAAAGAAATTATCAACATCAAATTACAAGAGTTTTTAGACGAGTTGATTAATATGAATGATCTCGACGACATGGCATCGTTGTTCGTATTTGACGCAACTCAGATACTTAAGAAACCATCGAAGAATGGCAATGACATAAAATTTCTACAAATATTGTTTAGGGAATGCTCCATATTGAAAGATTTGCACAAGGATGCCACGTTCAAAAATACTTTTAATGGAGTCTGCGATCCTCGACTCGGTAATATCTTTCCCGACGGTGCTATCAATCCCAATGTTTTAGAGAAATTTGCTAAAATAGTGAACTTTTCCTTGGCAAAAAAGAAAATGTGAAGAATCTTCTTTGTTTGATGCTGTCGGAATTATTAAAAATTTGAATTAATTTTTTAAAGTATTCAAAATTATTTTAACAATTCACAATCTTATATAAGTTAACTGTTTTTTTCACGAAATAAATTGTAAATTGAATTATTTTATGCATTTATGATTTTTTCTTGACTCTTTCCACTCTATGGGTATTAACAAGCCTTTTACGATCATCAAGTACTGCAATGGAAAGCGCAGCTGGCAATGAGAAACCAGGCCCAACCATGATCTATAAATAGCCGTGGTCAAACTATGTTTTAAATTCGGTAATACTAGAGTCGATAGATATACTGATCCTTGCGCTGCCAATAGCTCCAATGCTACAAAACTGGAATAATAAATATTTCTGCCATTTCGAGAGTGGCAATCGCTTCACGGCGTAAGTTTGGGTCGAGCATAGGAAGAGTCGAATGTAAACATTCAAAATTTTTTAATATATGAAATATTCTCGTTTTTAACTCAGATATTGCTCGTGTCTTTTTTAAAGGACTGCTTATAAATACTGTTTTAATTCGGTTTTGAACATTATTTATTTGTAAATGTCGTTAATATTTATATTTCTATTAACTGTCATTTTCACGATTTTAGACTTTAAATTAATTCGACTGTTTGTTTTTTTGCTTACAATTTGTGTTCACGATTAAATATTTTTGGGAGTTTTCGTCGAGGAAAAGAAAACGTAGTCAAAAAATTTAAAGTTAAGCCTGTATATATATTAGTAACATTGGATGTCTTCGGGATTCCTGAGAACTCTCTGAATCAGGAAGAAAAGGAAATGATGAGAATTATATACATTTAATTATGGAAATGTATAGAAATGTTAAACTATATGTTAAGACAAGATACATTTAAAGTGTTACAAAAAAAGAGATTTAGGATGGCTTTGGAGTTCATCAAGGTTAAGCCCATATCCTTTTATTTATTTATTAATATTAGATAAATTATTGTAGTTTGCAGTGAGAAAAGAGCTATGATATATGTTATTCACAATTTATATTGTGTTTATTAATTTAATGAGATAGAGAGAAATTAAAGTTCAGCCAATAAAAGTTAGGAACACGTTAGAGATGGGGATTAAAAGTCAGTAAATTTAGTACTTGGATTTCAACTATATAGACTGTTAAAAGAAAAAGAGAAAATTTCAACTATTTAGACAACATATTCAACATATTTACAGGCACATAATAACTTAGATATGATTAAAGGATAATGAGTTAGAGGTCGACAAATAAAATAGTTAAATGTAGGATAGCAAGAGTTCAGACAGAATTGTTAGATATTAACAGTGATAGTGATTAGTGATGACATGGAGGCTAAAAGAAAGACATGCTAGTGATATTTTACATCTATATAAACAAAGGACAGGTGTAGTAGGCCATCAATAAATCTTCATTCATATTCCACTTTTGATAGTGCAGAATATTATATAAATTACCAAAATATGTAGAGCCAATGTGAGTGTAATTTCTCGTGTAAAAAATACAAAGCTATTTCATTCCTAATACTATTTCTCACTATACTAAATCAAGTAAAATTGTATAACATACTTTATTTAGTATTAAAGTTAATAAATTATTTAAAAAATAGTTTGTCTTTATCTGCATTAAATTTCTCTGGCTATTTAAATATATCAGAGGATGAGCTATGGTTTTCCTAATTATATTGTCATATATATGTAAAATGCAAATTTATTTACTTATTTTACCATTAACTATTTATTAAACAGTTTGTTCAATCTGCCAAACATAAAGTAGATATTGATCATAAGTTTCTGTTATCAGGGCATTCATTTCCACCGAGTGATAGAGATTTCGAAGTTGTAGAAATGGCATTAAGAAAAAATAATTTGTTTGTTTGTCTCCAGAATTATTACGAAGTCATAAAAAAGTTTCGACAAAGTAAAAATTTTATTCTGAATATAAGGAAACAAAAGGATTTCATTTCAACTAAACCTCTAGAGGAGACTGGTTTTAAAGGTTAAAGAATACAAATAGAAAAATGGTAAGTTGGTTAAAAATACGTTGGATGCGTTTTTTGAAAACTGAACCATATAAAATGTTCTATGAAACATCAATTAATGAGGATACAAAATTTAAAAATCTGGATTTTCTACTGCTTTGGTGGGAGACCGAGAAACTTCAATAATATTGAATTGACACCACTGTACAAAAATGTAAGACCAATTTCAACACCCAAATACAAAGATAAGACTGACTTATTACCATCTGCTACTATATACCATCTGCACGCTGTGATTACCTTAAATCTTTCCCAAACAGGCAAAGATGAATAAATTATAAATTACGATATATAATATCAGTGTAATATTCCTTAAAAGTGAATAAAAATTGAATATTTTCTATTTATAACTAACATATTAATAATATACTTTATTGTTTTAATTATTTTAAGGATAATATGTCTTTTTCAGGGGTCTTAATTTTTTTTTTAATTTTTGAAAAAGCGTATTTCATGATTTTGAAACTGACTTAAGTCTATTTATGGCCAATAAAAACATGTTATTTTTTAAATAATGTTTATCATACTGATTGGTTAAATAAATTAAACACTTTTAGAAACACAGCATACTACCATGCTATCAGTTACCAACATTTTTAAATTAATTAAAACGCAAACCCTTAAATATTTCGATTTTAAGATAAATGAATTTAGGCCATTTTCAAAATAAACGGCTCAATTATCGGCTTGAAATTCCTTTGCAGTAAATAATTCTTTTAATAAGCATATTTATTTAGTACATAAAATTACACATATATTAATTTTGCGTATCCAATTAACAAAAAAGAAAATGAAGCAGAAATTCGTATGAACTTCGGATAGTGATTTTTAAAAGAAAAATAATACAGGAGTAAGTAAAACAAATGAATTACTGTATTTATAATTCAGCAGAAAAAAAAATCTTTTTGCATTAGACTGGAGATAACTCCCATTCTTCTGACAATGATTCTGTCAGTAGATCATTTGTTTGGTCATCCTCTTCAAATAAACACGTCTGAGAAGGAACACCTCGAAGTGTTTCAGGTCCAGATGTATTTGAAATTTTGTCTATTTCTTTGTCAAAATTTCGGTTACTCAAAGGATGCTCCTGGAAAATGCCTTCTCTGTTTATTTTGATGAAAACGTCATAAAGCTCTTTCAGCAATGACATTTTTTCTTCAGGAATTGCTCGAATCGACGTAAAATTCACATTTTCTTTTGACTTGTCCAAATTCTTATCATAGTAATGAAAATTAGGGTCAGGGTTTGATCGGACTTTTTTATTTTTGTTCTTGTTTCTTTTTATGAAGGAAAAGAAACGTTTTGGTTGTTTCAAGCCCGATTTCAATTCTTCATTCGAAATTGGTAGCAGTGGCTGCATTTCACATTCCAACTCTTCCTCTTCTTCGTTCAAATGAGGACTCACGTCGGTAAAACAGTTCCAAATATGTTCTGTTTGCGTGTATTTATGAAACTTCTTCTTATCGAAAGTAGGAAGTTTCGGTTCTATCATCTGAAAAGGTTGTTTTGTGTCAGTTCCAGTTGTAAATTCTAATCTGTTCATCTTTTCTCGGTTAATGTGTGCCATTACAACATCGTACATCCATTTCTCTACTCGATGTTTGCAGAATCTAATCAACTTTCTTGTGATGTAGAAGATGGCGCATGTTGTTAAAATTACCGCCTGACTTACAAAAACGTACAATAATATATTAAAATTAGTGTTGTCCCAGGCATTTAGTAGTGAATATTCTTCCGGTCTACTACTTTCCGAATTGACGTTATTGTTTATTGTGGTACTAGTGTTGTTTTCTACACTAGAACCTCCAATGACGTGCTTTTGATTTCTGATTTTATTTCTATCTCTTCTTATAGAATTATCTTTCTTGAAGATATGCCATTTGTTCTCGTATGGGGCATACAATTGAGGAAATAATTTATTCTTTCTTAAGGAAATTAAAATGTCTGATTTTTTCTTATCTGGTTCGATCTTTAGAATTTGTTTTGGTAAGAAAACTTGATCCATTTCATTGGAGTTTCCGTTTTCTTTCAGTTGCTCGGATCGAATCGGAATTTTTCCATCTTTTGACTCGTCCGCTAGATGAATGTTGTCACGTTTAGTCCAAAATATTCCTTTTGTATTACTTTCACTTGGAAGTAATACGAAAATAATCGTAAAAACAATGAAAATCTTAATCATTTTCTAACGAATTGCACAAATCGCCTTGAAATCACTTCAACAAAGAACCTCTCAACAATTGCGAAAATTACATTGTTGACGTCGTGAAATCTAGCAAATGTTTTATACTAAAAAATATGAAATTATTGAAATAAATTTTCATAAAAAATATAAGTTTTTATTTTCTATATCACCGACACAAACTGCGAAAATTAATGTGAAGCCATTTAGCACGTTTTCTCCTACGTTTTACAATTAAGTACCGTTTAAATTCTTTTTAAAAAATAAAATTTTATTTCAGAAAATGGCATTAATTTAGTTTGTATAATCGAAACACTGTAAGAAGTGTTAGAAAAAACGACATTGCTCCATGCTTATCGGATTATGAAAATTTAATTAGTGTCACTTTGATTAGGAAGCTATAGTATAAGACATTCTAAATCTCCTCTTATTACAATAATAATAGTAAAGACCTTGATATATTTCCAACCAGTAGCCGATTTGAAAGAAACTTCCGGGATGCATCATCCTTGGCAGATCACTCACGTAATCAAATAAAACAAACAAATTCTAACGAGCGATTATTTATTGTGACCGTCATAATGCCGGGCTGCAACTTTTCGTCATAATTTTCTCAATTCTTTTAGTGATGATCTTGCCCCTGTACATCATACTTTTCCTGTTAGCAATAAAGTCGTGTCGGTCATATATCTAACTCCGCTCCGTGAATCGGAGGTAACATACTTACGTTTTAAACCGAAAGTTTGTATAGAATACAGTTAATCTGGGCCTCCTCCCCTAAGCTTTTGACATCGGTCTTGACTTTCATATATCTAACTTCATTCTTGAGATTAAGGAAGGACAGATAGATACGGGACTACAGAGAGAATTTATAAGTTTACAATTTTTTTAAATTGCAGCCCAATAATTTTTCCATAAACGCAATATTTACGAAAACATACATTCTGCATAGTTTTTTTAATTTTAGAAATTAAATAGAAATAAATTTAATAGAAATAATTTAATAGAAATTAATTTTGATAAAATTATTTTCCCGTTTTTAAATAAATAATATCGTTTTCGGTATCTGAGTATATATATATATATATAAATGTATGCTTAAAGAATAGACCTACGTAAATTTTTATAATTAAAATATACAATGGCCTGGTTTAAAAAGCATGGTATAGAAATTGAACTTCAATGGATGTCCGTTCAGTAGCCTAGCGTAGTGGGGCGGCCCGCCCCGGGCGGCACTTTTTAGGGGGCGGCAAAATTTCACAATAATTAATAATAATATCTTGTAAAAATTTGAACCATTCTAATCTATATTTGCGTCGCGCCTACGATAGTGCTATCGTCCGGACAGTCCGGGAATCGGCTCACCGTCCGGGTGAACTAGTAATTTCATCCGAGGATATCCTGCGAGACCTGTTTTTTATTTTTATTATTTTTTTTTTTTTGCTAGTACGATTCATTCGTATTCACATATACACCAATATCCAATGGAGCTAATTTGAACAGGTCGCTGCACTACCACGGAATTTTTCATTGCTTCTTCTGTGACAAAACTGAATTTTAGTTCTTTACATTGAGATACCTAAATAACGGGGGGGCGAAATTTTCCTCCGCCCCGGGTGGCTGACACCCACGCTACGCTACAGCGTCCGTTTTATTTCATTAAATTTTTTAGTTTATACATTTTATCTATACTGTACTAATATTATAAAGAGGTAATATTTGTAAGTTTGGATGTAGCGGGTAATCTCCGAAACTACTCATCCGATTTCAAAAATCCTTTCACCAATATTTAGAATGGATCTTCAGGGTGGGCATAGGCTGTATATTATTCCGTTAAACATTCATATAAATTAAATTATATCATCTAGGGTTAAGACTTTTATGTCCAACAGATGGCGCTACGAGTACGACGACCTAAGTTTGCTTTTCTGTGAAGATGAACTAAAGCAGATCATCTTCTATCTATCTATATAAATAAAAATGTAATGTTCGTTTGTTCCTACCGATTCCTTTGAAATTTTGACACAACGCTGCATTCGAATACGCACGTGTTTTTATATAATATACATGCCGAAATTTCCCCCACTGGAGGGAGATGGACAGGATTAAGGCTTACCGTAAAGAACTCTGCTTCTGTTTATACTATTTTAGATGCGGTTTTTTGCGTTTTTGATTGCTTTTTAATAGGGTACGTCAAGAGAATGTACACCAAGAAGGGATTTTTCGAAAAATTACTCCCCACGAGGAAGTGTTATACATTTATAATAGATAAATTTTGAACCGCAACAATGCGTGGCGGGGTCTGCTAGTTATTCATAAAGTGGTAAAGATTTTGGGGGATTGAGTTTTGTTGGACGTCCGAAGAGGAGAGGGGGTTACGGAAACTTGGACAAACTGAGACAATGGGGGAGGAGAAGTAAAAATTTCAAGAAAAATGTAGACGTAATTTATGGACGGTCCCTTTAGCCAATTTTTGAACAAATGAGATACGTAGAAAGTTTATTAATTAATAAGAAGCAGACTTAAAGATGTTGTTTTCAGTTAATAAAAATAACATTAATTTTGTAGTGATAACTCGTAAGTTTTCTCCGGGCGTCGGAGAAAAATTCTCAGCTCGCTCCCCCTCTCCACTGCACTAGAGACGAAAATAAAAGAAAAAGAAGTAAAAATCCACCAGGTGTCTTCGAAACCAAGACCTAGTATCAAGCGAGGTTACCGCCATCTCGCGTCCAGGTAAGGAAAGAAAAGTTTGTAAATTTTTCGATTCGTCGAAAGTTATTAAACGTTTATATACGCGCGCGGACGAGATCGCCTAAAAAGCGGAATTGCGATCGAGTAAAGCGAGAGAAGAAGGAATCGGTGGGGAAGGCGAGAGGAAGGATCGGAGGAATCCGAGACCCGCGACGGACCAACGTATGAAGCGAAGGGTCGAAAGGCACGAGAAGTATGTATGGGTACTTGACGGCATTCCGGGGAGGATGACCATCTACGGGCCGAGTGGCGGGACGCTTTTCGTCGACCCTGTCGAAAATGCGTCGTCCTCTTAAGTGCACGCGCTCTGCCGATTCGCCGTTTTCTTCACGCTTTACTTTTCGCTCCAGAGATGTTATCGTCTAGAGAAAGTGACGGCTGACTCGCCACGTGCTCCCAACTACGACCGTCGCGTTCCATCTTTCGTATATATACAAAGTAAGTCCGTCTTTTATCCCGTCTTTTATTCATTCCGATCATTTTATTTCAAAAATGTCAAGAATTTTAATTTGGTTATCTTAGCGACATCTAGCGACGGATAATACAACTATCCTGACTACGGTTTTTCCGTGGCAGGCTCCCTTCCTCGCGTTCTCGTGTCATATTTATCGCCGGTTTCTTCGTCTCCGATGAAATCTTTGTTTATTTATCTTCTTTTTTTTTTCCTTATGCCTACTTGTCAATTCATAATTATTACAAATTGTTTCGTTGATCGTTCCGATTTACGAGAGAATTCGGATTTCGCGGCGTTCTGCGCATTTCCATCGGCGCGCGTTATAAAAATGAGATGGTCGAAACCTGGAAGGAGGGAAAAAGTCCGTAACGTCACACTGTGCCACAACATTGATTCCAAGTTAGCAATCATCGAACGTCGTTCTAATGATGAGCTTTTCTTGTTCAAAACAAATAAAAAAAGAAAGCGATGTTGCAGAAACAATAAAATACAACTGTTGATTTCGGTATTTTAAGTGAAGAAGAATGGAATTTTTATTTTATATTTAAAAATAAAGAAAAATCGATGAAATTTTATTGATACTGTGACCTATTTTCTCATGGAAGATGAATTGCATAGTGTGCGAAAGACGAAAATAAAACAAATCCTCGCTTTTATATGCCGATATAAAAGTGTTTAAATTACAATTACGCACGTATCGCATAAAATTTATTAACTTATATGGCCTACTTTTTATTATGTAGGATGTATACGTGTTTCTAGATAAAAACGTGAAATAATATTTAGCAGATTGTATTAAATTTTATATTTATATATATGAAAGTATAAAATTAATACAACGTTAATCTCCTAATTCTTATTTTGCGTTTTTTATCTAGAAACATATATATACATCCACAATAATAAAATATAGGCTATATAAGTTTATAAATTTTATGCCATAAATGCATAATTGTAATTTAAATATATATTAAATATATGAAGGTATAAAATTAATACAATGTTAATCTGCTATATTACATGCTATATTATGTATGCATATAGTGATATATATATACAGTATATATATATTGACATAGTGAGTAATGTGTGATTATAAAAAGTCTAGCAAAATGTTATAAATGGTTTTAAACCATTCAAAAGAGTTTATTCAAATTTTGATATATTGATTCAAAAATCAAATTATATTATTACTTAATTTTTTGTATTAAAAATATATCCTGATTTGAAATGATTTTTTTAGAAAAGTCATTCTCCAATGACAGTTTAGTTAAAAATGCTAAAGTAGTACTTAGAAATGCTGCTTTAATTAATACAAGTTTGGGGATTTAAAGGCATTAAAGCTTTTCCTACATATAGTTTGTAGAGGCAGATGTAACTGATTCAATGAGTTCTTAAAATGCATAATGCATTGTTAAGTGGAATATTTAACATTTCACATTAAGCATCTGTGAGAGAATGACTCATGTCATCAGAAAAGCAGTTTTTCTGGCCTTTTTTTTTATTTTAAAAATGATTATTTAAATTATGATAATGATTTTAGTTTGAATATTTATTATTATTTTAGCAGTAATCTTAAATCAAATTTTGTATATTCAATATAAGGAAAATAAGGACTGGGTTAATTAGTTTGATTTACATATACACACATATAATATGATAGTAAATTGTGTATGTGGATAGCAGTCAACTGTTTAGCAACTATGTAGCAACTGTTTGCAATTATTTATTTTATAAATACATATTATTTTGTTAAGAGATAAGCTAGATTATGTAATTTATTTGTTTAGATACTATCTTTGATAAAAAATAAAAGCATTTTTAGTGATCTTGTTAGTAGAATGAGAATATAATCTACTTTCAACATTCTCTAATAATTAATGATATAGAACTATTGTCTTCATTTTAATATTGTAATCTGTATAACTCTTTAGTTGAGGTCCAACTTGAGAATGACATCTTAAAAAATACTTTAGAAGATTAAACTGTCTATACTTATTAAAAATTAAGAGAGAAAATTTAATTTTGAAACATTTAAAATAATAATCATCAATTAAATAAGTTTTTAAATTAAGGTCAGTGCATTCAAAAGGCCCAAAGGGAGTCTAACTTGATAATTAAAAGTGTTTGAATAATTATAAGTACCTTTTATCAATATTAACATATGCAAGACAATTGTATTGCAGATGGTCCAATAAACCATTTGCCATTGTAAATGTTTTTAAAAACATTTTGAAGTTTGAACAAATAAATTTTTAAATTTTTTGCATCAACAAGGAGGGCTTATGCCTCAGTAACCTTTGTAGATTAAGGTTAGCTATACTATAATTTAATAAGAGAGAAATAAAAACTAGAATAGGAAAAGATTTTAAAAGATAGTCCATTAAATGTAAAAACCATATTATGTTCATGTACTGCAGTTAGCACAATCATATATTAAAAACACTGTAGTCTTGATCTTTCTCTTTGATGTTACTTAGCACCAATAAAATGCTTAAAAAATGTTCTGCTTATGGATAGAATTTTTGTAATGGAGGTTGATATCTAGTTTTCATTCAAGAATCACAATCCACACTAATGATAAAAATTAAAATAAAAATTTAAATGCTAGTATATTTAATTATGTTTGTTAAAAAATTGCACCTTTTTTATTGAAATTTTTGTATAACTAATTTTTTACTGTGTTTGAATTTGAATTGAAATTTTGTTTCAATTCAATGATTTCAACTTCAGAAATCATTTATTGTTCAAACTCTTGCCTGAAGATGACAGAATTGACTACTGTTGAAAACTCTTGCATGTTTTTGTGATTTTTATGAGTTTGTTGTTTTTTAAAATATATTAAGTTAACACCAAAAGTCAGAATGACCTTTATTTATCTAGTTTTATTTTAAAATATTTAATAATAATGTCAAAATTTTATCATTTTTATTTAATTAATATAAAATATTAAGTGCAGTCATCTGTTATGGATATTTAAGCTTATGGCAATGATTGGTGTCAAGAATAATTGATAAGTTGGCATACCATAACTTGGTGGATTATCCTTGACTGTATATACTCCACCAAAGATGCTAAAATGGAAATAAAACCTTTGCATAATTCTTCCCATCATATAACCTATGCTTCTAGAGCAGCTATTGAAAGCATTTCACATGCACAACATACCAATACCAGCACACTTGAAATTAAGAAATATTTACTAACATTTTCATCCATTTATAACAGACATCTTCAAGTATATAACACAGAATAAAATGGCTACATTAAATTTTGAACGTTTTCATCCTACATTAAAATTGAATGTTCAATTAAAATTGAACATTCAATTTTAATGTAGGATGAAAACGTTAGTAAATATTTATTAATTTCAAGTGTGCTGGTATTGGTATGTTGTGTATGTTTAATCTATCCCAGTATTGGAGAGTTATTGAAACCATTACACTACTGGTATATAGAAACCATCTCAAATATTAGTATTCTTTTTCTATAACACTTTATTATAGATTTAATTATAAAACAAAAAATGGGGGGATATTGAGAGGGAACCTTCTAAACTTTGTTTGAAAGATACGAAATGCATACTGAATGTCAAATTCTTAATATCATATTACTTTATTTCTATTTTATCAAATAACAATAATATACAGTGGGTGATCGGTTAATGAACATAATCTGTTCCAAGACTTTGTTCGCTATCTGAATTGTTCATTAAACAATTATCTATTTACCATAGGTTTTAATGGGAATTTAATTAATTCATTCTGGAGACCCCAAAAAATAAAAAATATATACTTTCTTACTACGTTTATTTATATGTAATAATAAAACTATATACATACACAGTCTTGCATTTTTATTAGTCATGTTTTTTCTGTTTGAAAGGGTTAAAGAATCTGTCTAATGTCGATTGCTTTTCTCTCTTCTTCACGATTTTTCGTAAGTAATTAATAGCATTGTAATTGTAGAGATCCCCAAGCCTCAACCTAGTATGGATACCATTCTAAGACTGTTGTTCTGACATTCTCCCACTTCTTCAAAGGATCTTTAATAACAGATATCGGCATTAATCCTCTTTTTCAGAAAAAAAACATATCTCGCCAAGTTTCTTGGTGTTCTTCATTCAAGAGTTCTTGGCATTCTGCTGTTGTCATATCCGTTTCAGGTTCCATTACGAACTCTTCGATGTTCTTTATTTCTCAGATGTGATTTTTGTTACTCCTTTAGCTGCTGGAGTCTTCTTGATTACACAGTATTTTTCGTAAATAAGATTGAACTGAGGCCTACTGTAGACCTGTTTATGCCATATTGCTCAGCAACATTAGGCATCTTCTACCCACTCTCTACCTTTGCTATTATACTCTCACCTTTCAAAAAGAAAAACAGATGCAAAACTTAATGAGTGCCTACCTGACAGACTTGTGAATACACAAAAGAATTGTTTTGTCAGAAAAATAAAAAGCTGGAATTACAAGGAAGAATTTCAAAATTTGGAGGAATATTATCCGATTGGTATATACTGGCTTGAGCGTTGATGTCGACATCTCCCACACTCTGAAAAGTTTCGAATTGTTGCCCTAAGACAAGGGAAGACCAATCAGTATACATTATTTTACATCACTTTTTCTGTTTGTTGTGTGGGGTGTTCGTTATCCGATCTGTTCGTTAACTAATTACCCACTGTATATAAAAATAATATAATAATAGTGATAAAATAAGCTGAGAAAAAATTAAATAGAAAATAGTTTTAAATTAATATGAATAATATCCTATGATACAAATTTGAGTCAATCACTCAAATGTTATTTGCTGTGGAGAACTCTTAGTTCAGGTAGACATTCACTAGAACAACAGTTCTCAAACTTCTGGCCATGTACAGTATATACCCCTAGATAGTCCCCTTGAGTATGTCTTGTGTAGAGTCTTCTACATGTGCATTTCAGATTATCACTGAAGAGTAATGACAAATGCTTGTGTAGAAACA